TACAGTAAGATGGAAGATAAACAAAACTACTGCAAATAGTTTTATTCAGCTTGTCTTATACTGGGACTATATCTCACATATTTTGTACAAATATGCAAACTCCCATCTTCTCCATATTTCAGAATTATCAACTTGGCTTAGTGATAAAGGTAGGAATTTTCTGACATTTATACATGGAATGGTAGGCATGCAATTCTCACGGATCAGAGGGTGAAGATATGAGATACAGTGAAAAGTTGGCAAAATAGGCTGAATTTTCTATTCTACATTGCAATAATGGGGGAGGGCCAGTAGCATGACACTGCTGCAGCTATGACTGTGACATTGCTATAAAGCATACAGCACTCCTCTTGCTAGAAGGCAGAATTAGGATGGGCAATCTACCCTCTCCATCTGCTGCATAAGATATAGGATGATACTATTTAGCTTATCTTGAGCTACCTATAGACAGAAAAGAGGATGTATACCAGATGAGTGTACCATTAAAAAAGTGCACAGACCTAAAAAAGAAAGGACTCTACAGGCTGAGTATATCAATTTGAAACATTTAATGAGATTCACTTTCACACATCCAAATGATTGTGCATGCTGTGAATTAGTTCCATAATCTTCACTTGCTAACTTTCTTGATAAACATACCAAGAGCTATGTGTTTCTAACTTCATAGTTAAAATTTCTATTGGCATCTATCTTTTCTTTTCTTAATGAATCTTGACTCAGTGTTTCTCTACAGTGACCGTATACCACGTGTGGCACAAGCAGGACAGAGATAAGAAAGCTCTGCAACACCTTTGAGCACATCATCTTTGTGTGCACAGACTTTTGATTTTCCTGGCAACTGCAGACTGACGTTTCTACTGATGTCTCAAGTATCACACACTTTTCAGGATTAGAACCTCTGCATGCTTCTCCTTCCCTCACACACAGAAAAGGCCTCTTAAAGAGCATAACCTTTCAACCTCAACAAATCTGAGATGAATTAGATTTTATTTTACATTTTGGGTTATTTGCTGTAAACCACGCATTATTTACCACACCTGCCTTATAGAAATGTTTTATAACTGAACAGTTGTTCTGAAGTACTTCATTCTTTCCTCAGAGCAATTTTTGTAAGGAATGCCTTCAGAAACAACCATGATTTCAGAAAATACAATTCCACTGAGCACAAATTGCTGAAGAATGTGACTGGGAGGTATTTATCAACCACAAGACTGACCACAGATTCCCATCTACTTCTTATTTGGAGGATGAACACAGATTCTAGTCTTCCTATGCTTAATTTTCCAACAGTTTAAAAAGCTATTTGGGAGCTACCATTGCTAGATTAAATAGGCAGTTCTTTATTTTTATAGCTATATGCAAATGCTAACCACCAAATACTGTATAAAAAAGTTCCAAAGACTGAGGAGATACTATAACTATCAGTAACCGGAAACTCTCTGGTTATGCCAAAATCTGGAAGCAGAAAAAGGAACAAAGATAAATTACTTAGCAAGTTACAAAAACAGAAGGGGAAAAGGGGATATGCTTGGATCCCATAGTATATGCAAATTAGCATGTTATAGAGGTAAGTATCTTTCTACGCAAAACAACTCCAAAACAGTATGAAGTTCTCAGCAAGCGACAAAGAGCAGAATGGTAGTTCTAATGAGTTCCTGGCACAAGAATAATATACTGCAACCATTTTTCTATACAGATTCAATGGTTCCTAAGTAAGGCCTTTGAAAGTCAGCAGTTTATGTTAAAATCATAGATTCATAGAACAGTTTGGGTTGGAAGGGACCTTAAAGTTCATCCCGTTCCACCCCCCCTGCCATGGGCAGGGACACCTTCCACTGCATCAGGCTGCTCCAAGCCCCGTCCAACCTGGCCTTGAACCCTTCCAGGGAGGGGGCAGCCACAGCTTCTCTGGGCAACCTGTGCCAGTGCCTCACCACCCTCACAGGGAAGAATTTCTTCATTATATCTAATCTAAATCTGCCCTCTTTCAGTTTAAAGCCATTACGCCTCATCCTATCACTACCTGCCCTTGTAAAAAGTCCCTCCCCACCTTTCCTGTAGCCCCCCTTAAGTACTGGAAGGCCGCTATAAGGTCTCCCTGGAGCCTTTTCTTCTCCAGGCTGAACAACCCCAACTCTCTCAGCCTGTCCTCACAGGGGAGGTGCTCCAGCCCCCTGATCATCTTTGTGGCCTCCTCTGGACCTACTCGAGCAGGTCCATGTCCTTCTTATGCTGGGAGCCCCAGAGCTGGACACAGCACTACAGGTAGGGTCTCGTGAAAGCAGAGTAGATCCCAAACCACAGAAAAACACAAAGACATGTACTTAACTTAGTGGCCCCTTACTAGGTAAAAAATATCTCAATGAAGCTAAGATCATGTGTTAAAGTCTCTTTGGTTAAGATTTGCAAACTATGCAACATGTGCATGTGCAACATGCACAAATTCGATACTTATGGCAACAGATATCAGCTAACATTGCAGCAAACTTATACTTATTTAGAAAAGATATAAAAAGGTCAAAAAGACTTAATTGCTAAAGTTTCTCCAAACTGATTATCAAAATATGTTTTCCTATGAAGTATTTACACCAGAGAAATATCAGCCAAATCTTCTCCCTGGAGCTCCATCTACTGACATCAAAAAAAGCTGCCACGTTACTCCTCAGAAGTAAGATCCATAACGTTAACACTAGGGACCAAAGTTGGTAGCGAATGATGTTCCCTGCACAAATATTAAAAGCACTTCCTCCATTTTAAGAAGTAGCAAGCATAATACAACAGTATTTACCTTCCAAGGATTCAATTCCAGTTGCCTGGGCCAACAGGTCTTCATGTCTTGCAACAACCTTAAAAAAAATTGAATACAGAAATCAACACAGAAAAATGGGTATGTGTGCCTGAAAGGAATATTAATATATCATCATCATACATTAAAGTATCATCATCTCTACATTAGGCAGACACAGGAGAAAGCAGCCACACCTTAGAGATGAAAGGGTTTTCAGAACACATTTTAATTCACAGAAGTGACAAGCTCAGAAGGAAGAGAGGGTCAGTAACTGCAGTGTAGCTGACATCTTAATTAAAGCCAGCAGAGTAATCACACTTCAACATACCTTCATATATAATAATAATAATTGTAAGCTTATTAATCACACAGTAATAATGTATATCCACATTTAAAATATTTTCTATTTATAACATTCAGAAACTAGTTCTCAAAGAATTTACTAATCGGGGCAGGGGGAGGGAGGAAGCAGTTAGCATGTGTTCTCACTGCAAGGTCCACTGTGGATTTGTGGTATATGCATAGATTTTACCAAAAAGCCTTCTACTATCCAAACTCAAAAGCCTTTCTGAAGGTGTGGAGGTTATATTTGCCCAGCTAATGGTAAGCCTTAGACCCAAGACTACTCTCCAGCACAGGATGAAAAGGTGCAAGTTAAATCATTTCCTATCTTCTCACAGTTGTCATCGCAAAACACACACCAGCGTTTCTGACAGCTGACATGATCATTTGGAAAGAGTCAGGGAACATCCTTACAAGGAGAAGCATAACCTCCATGTATACAGAGATTGGCTGCAGAAACTGAAAACAGAGCAGTATATAGTTTCTTGGTAGGAGCACTAAGAGTAGGCTTGACTAAGTTACATATCAGATTCACTACTAGTTTTGCTGCAAGTTGTACCTTTAGTTACTACTTGCAGAGTACACTGGGCAATTTCAGAAGCAACAAGATCATAAAATTACTAAATTTTTGACTCATTTATGTCAATCACCCCAGAATAATAGATATGTTTTAAACTTACCTGTAAATGAAGCTCTTTGTCCAACTGACTGATACCTTGGGCAAGTTTTGCAAGTTGCTCAGCTATCACAGCCTGATGGATAGACTGGGAAGTGTAAGCTTTCACATCAAAGTCTTCTCTGAAGAAGTCAGCATAACATTCTGAAAAAGATTTCATTTTCATACTTCAAAACAGTTAAATAATATTTACAGACCTAAAGCACACACTTCGCTGACCTTCAGTTTCTCTAGATTTAACAGCATATGCTCTCTACATCAATACAAATGAGACATCAAGTTGAGAAGAAACCACAATTGGGAGGAACAAGTTTGGAGCTGATTACTTGGGAGTGGTCGTGTTGTAAATGGTGAAAAAAGACAAGTGTTCCTTTATTCCCCACAGACTTTTCTTGAGCAGAATGCACTAAAAAGTATCAATACCTTCTTCAAACTCTACAGTGTAACCAGGGTGAGGCTGTTGAGGTTCTACACATAATGAAACACACACGAGCCACCTTCAAATCGCTGAGAATCAAAGTGGCATGAGACACAACTTCATGAAATCACACCAGGCTGTTACAACCGTATTGGTTTACAAAATACTGAGTTAAGAAATGATACAGCAATGATGCTTCTGGATCAAGCAAACCCCGAGTTTCCAGACAGCGCACACTAACATGACCAAGCACCTCCGTCTCCCTTTTCAGCGTCCTTTTTTTTTTTTTTCCCTTTCGGAGCAGGCGACCACAGGTGACCACGCCAGCAGGACCCTCTGCCAGGGCGGGCGGTCCCCTCCCCGAGCCGGGGGACGCTCGGCAGGCGCGGCAGCGCTTCCCCAGCGCCCCCCGCCCCTCCGCCGCCGAAACTTTTCCGTGACTTGACAGCACGGCCGTTCACCGCCCTCCTCGCCCCGTCCCCGAGCGCCGGCGCCTCTCCCCCGGCTCTGCCCGCCCAGCCCAACGCCGCCCTCGCGAAGGACCCTCCGCCGCGGCCAGGCGCTGCCCGCCGCCCCTCACCGTCCGCCAGCAGCTCGGCGAGGGCCGGGGCCGGGGCCGCGCCGCCGCCTGCCCCCGCCTCCTCCATGCTGGCGGGTGCCGGCAGCCCGCGCGGCGGCGCGCGGCGATGATGGCGAAGGCGCGCGACGACAACGGGGCGGCCCCACGGGCGAGCGGCGGTGGCGCGCGGGGCGCTCGCGCATGCGGTGAGCGCGGGTCCGGCCGGGCGGGCAGCGGGGTGTCCGGGCCGCAGCCGGCGCTGTGCGCGGGAGGGCGAGGGGCAGCGGGCCGAGGCTGCAGCGGCGGCGGCTCTGGCCGGAGACTTTTCTCCGTGAGGCCTGGGGGCCGGCGCTGCGCTGAGGGGCTGGGCTGGAGACCCCGTCCCGTCCCGGGCTGGGCGCCGTAGGGAACGGAAACACAGCGGTGTTACAGCGGGGCGGCCGCCGCGGGGCCGGCGTTCAGAGCTGCTGGTGGCAAAAGGCTTGTTCTGCCACTGCAAGTGATGGACTTCTTGCAGGACGCTTTACCAGAAAGCAAGTCCACTTTAATGCTTTGCTGCAGGGCTTATGAGAAATAGGTGAATTACACGCAAGCACTGTTTGTTTTTCCAGATGCAAAAAGGATTGTTAATTACACATGATTGGTGACATCGCAGAAACTACACAATGCCAACTAAAAGATCCCATGGATTTGTTTCATTCTGGGCAAGTTGTAAAAATATGTGCCCCTATGGTCCGCTATTCAAAGTAAGTAACTGTCATGTCAACTATGTTTTCAGTGTATTTTCTCCGAGGAAGTTTATCTTGACTATAAAAACAGGGATGCTTACCTTTTTTCTCCTTTAATTACTTAAGAGGGAGACAGATGTGAGCCATGTTTTATCTTATGATTATATTTGGACATCCTCACAGTACTGCATGTCAGAACAGTGTTTTAGAATAATCAGAAAAATGTCTCTTAATTGTCATGTGTCTGCAGGCTGGCTTTCAGAACCTTGGTTAGGAAATACAGTTGTGATCTGTGTTACACACCAATGATAGTGGCAGCTGATTTTGTGAGATCTGCAAAAGCTAGAGACAGCGAATTCACAACAAACAAAGGTATTTTTTTTTTAAGAAACTATTGTCTTGTCGGAATGTTTTATGTGGTGATAAACTAAATTGGCCAAGTGAATGAGAACTGTCACACAACTTGACATCCATTAACAATTTTGTTATACCATATCTGATTGATTGCAAAACCACGTAAGTATTCTAGGTGAGATCAAACACATTCCAGTAATAGTGTGTCAAATAAAATAGTGGAAAACCTTGTCTCCACCTGAAATCAGGGTCTCTGAACTGATTCAGATGTGTAGTGGGTAGCTGACCAGTGGCTGCGGTACCCACACGGCTGCTCTCTCATTTCTCCTCCACCCCCTCCAGCAGCACAGGGCAAGAATAGGAAGAGTAAAGGCAAGAAAATCTCATGGGTCAAGATAAAGACAGCTTAATAAGTGAAGGAAAGAAGGAGAAAAAAAACAAGTGATGCAAAGGCAACCACTTCCCACCTCACACCAGCAGACCAATGTCCAGCCAGTCTCCAAGCAACGGCCACCCTGGAATACATTTTCCATGTCCACTTTCCATGTTCCACTTTCTTCTTCCCCTACCACTCCAGTTTTATTGCTGAGCTTGATGTTAAATGGTATGGAATATTCCTTGGACCAGTTTGGGTCAGCTGTCCCAGCTGTGTCCGCTTCCAGTTTCTTGCCCACCCCAATCTATTTGCTTCGGGCAGAGGGAAGCAGTTTTGACACTGCAAGTACAGTGCAGCAATAGCCAAAACATTGGTACATTGTCAACACCGTTTATGTCACAAAATCCAAAACACAGCATCATACAAACTGCTATAAATGAACTTCAAATAAATTTAAAAATTAACTCCATCCCAGCCAGACCCAGTATGAGATGGTAATAAGATTCTTTTCCCAGCAATTACTGTTTCTTGTTTTAGAGATGAACACTTAACTCATTGCCAGAAAAAGTTTTGTGGTCTCTAAGGAAAATAAGAAGGTTGCTAATGGTGAAAAAATTAATAGACCAGGAATTGATAGAGTAGAATCAAGGACTGATTCTACCCTGAAGCAGGGTTTCAAATTAGCTGGAGTTAATGATACGTGGAAGGGGCTGTTGATGGACTCTTTGAGATACTGAGAGGATGATAAAAAGGAGCAAGAAGAGACCAGGAAGTTGAAGTGTGGCTAGGGTTGATGGGGAGAAGCAAGGCTTTAGGCATGGTATAGAAACATAACCAGAACACATACAAAAAGGAGTATAAGGAGTTGTAGAGAGTCCTGTCTGTAAAGCAAAAGAGAGAAGTGGTATGAAATATGTGGGAAGAGGTGACAGTAATGATACAGATCTGCTGGCATGAAGTGGCTACAGTAGAAGATTAACAAGGAACATACAGGCATAGGCTGCAACTGGAGGAATGAAGAGAACACTGCTAACGTGCTAGTAAGATTGGTGTGTAGGATCTACGAAGTGTGATGATTTAACCTATTCAGATCACTGAATTTCATAGTTCATCACTGGTTTTGTAAGTGTATATATAATAGAAGGGGAAGTATATTTCATTATTTTAGCACTGTCTGTTTACTATGGTGAATTATTCAAATAGAACAGAAGATTGATGGAGAAAAGTCACAGTGGGAAGCACAGGTAGACTCTCTTAATAGTGGAATTCCATTTTTAAAAAGCATGAATAAGTAAGAACATAACTGACAATATATATGGCTCAAAGGTCCACAGAGCCATTAGTTTGTTCCCTTTCAACTTACTTACACTTCTGATCTACACAAAGTCCAATGGCACTGAAGTTCCACAGGTCAGATACGTAGTATATTCAAGGAGTGGGGTGCGGGGGCGAGGAAAGAGGAAATTCTCCTTTATGCTGTAACTTTGCTGCCCAGTGACAAGGGGTACAAAATGAAATGGTCTAGGGCTGTAAACAGTATCTTTTCTCTATTCACTTCTTTCACGCTGGCCTTAATTTTATAGGCCTCTAAAACATCCTGCTGCAGACAGATTTGCCAATATTAGAGTATTTACATTATTAACATTTATGCTTTTAACAAGTAGCTCCACAACAGGTTGTGAAATTTTCCTGTGGTTTTATGTTTAACTTCCTGGATGTTTCGGGATTTTGTCTTCTAATTAGCAGAGTAGGTTTGGAGCCTGCAATTGCAATTTCTGTTTTCCATTTTCTTTGGCATTGACATTTCTTTGTTGGGTATTTCTAAAATACAGGTAGGTGTTCTTTGTGGCTGCTGCTAAAAAATCTAATATGGCTAGGCTCAGTATTTTTATTACTCAGTGCTCAATCAGAAATGAAGAGTGTGGGATTATTCCAAATTACTAGATGCAGTAATATAAATCTCTTCAGCTAGACCACTGTCTTAAATGGACACTGTTTTAAAAATACGCAAGGAGGTTTTTTTGCTTGCTGGATTTTAGGTAGTTTTTCGACGTGTCTCAACTTTATTGAGAGGGTACTGCTGCTCTCTCTGACTTGAGCTCCACTAGTTCAAGAACTACTTATTTTCCACTAAAATAGGAAAATCTTCAGAAGCACTTGTGGTCTTTTCAGTGCTGGAATTGCACTTGCTTTGTGCATTTGTTGGATCACCTCTTTCCATCAGTGCCCAGATATTCCTCTTCCTCTCAACTGCAGCAATTGTTTATATGGAAAGTGAGTGCTAAGACTGAGATATTTTTAGATGCCTTTAATGTAATGCAGTAGCTGTAAAAGAGGAGACCATGTTCCAAATGACCATCTGGCTCTCTGCAGGGGCTTAGTAAATCACAAGTAGTTCAGTAGACCCAAGCTGAGGAGCACTGACACTTTGTTTTCCCACTTGAGACAAAGCTCCTAAAGCTGTCTCTGCCTGTGTGTTCTCATTCCAACCCTGCATATTGCATTCGGGATCAAAACCAGCCGTCTTGGCACAGAAAGGGAAAAAGATGAGCTGGGGTAAGGAAGGGCAAAGCTTGTGGGTTGTTTAGCTCCTTTCTGAAGTGTTGGTTCCATAAGGAAGTTTCCCACCTGGCAAGACATATAGCCGTGTCAGCACAGCAAAGGGGCAGCATGCAGACAAGAAGGGGCAGGCTAGGAGAAAAAGCATGATGGCTGCTGAAAAACAGAGAATATTTAGTTTCATATATCATCTTTGTGAAAGATAAGCATCTGACTAATTTCAGTCAGAAAAGTATATGTTGAGCCACCTAGGACACATACGTATGTCTGAATTCCCAGCTCTCTTGATAGACATACTTATTTAGTAACCACTGGTCAGCTACCTTTTTTTGTGATCTAGGGCTCACAGAATCACAAAATGGTTGAGATTGGAAGGACCTTTCTAGTCATGTTATCCAGCCCCGCCTGCTCAAGCAAGAGCCAGTTGCCCAAGACCATGGCCAGACAGATTTCTATATACAAAAAAACATTCAAATTTCAGAATCTCTTTTTCTAAATCTCTCACTATCTTTTAATTGGAGTAGGTGACCATCCATTGATTGTTCAGTTTGCTGCTAAAGAAGCACAGGTTTTGTGTGATGCTGCCCGTATCGTCTGTCCTTTTGCAGATGGAATAGACCTAAATTGTGGCTGTCCTCAGAGGTAAGTTTTTGAAAAAGCTGGTGAAATAATGATTAAATAATTTGAGAACAAAGAAGGCTGGTCTTCATTTTCTTGGTAATTTCTGTCTTAACTTAAAAATAGACTTTGAGAAAGAAACAGCTTTTTAACCTGTCAGAAATGTCTGTGTGGCAAGACACTGTTCTGAATGTTCTGAGATGCCTGTCACCATGGTGAGACTGGGAAAACCAGGTGTATTTGCCAACTTGCCTTTTTTCATTTCTGAGATACTGAGTGTTGGCTCAGAAGTGAAGCGTCCATCCCTTCTCAGCAGCTGTTAAATATGCATTACCACAAAGAGTTTGCTGCAAATAATTTGGAGAGTGTTTTGAGAAATGATGTGGCAATTCCCAGAATAACGAGGCAAGTCCCTGATGTCTCAGACTTATGCAAGTGAAGGATAATCTAAAATATAATTATACAGATTATATTATTCAGAAAGTGCTGAAAATAATTTCTTCCATCTTTTATTAGGTTTATAAGTACGATGAATTAGTGATCTACTTTTCACTTAAATTGATAAAAGATTTTGTTTTGACTGAAACAGCGTAGTAACGCACAAATGAAGATTCTTGCTAACTGGTTCAATTGAGAACCATTTACTACATGCATGTCAGGCAGTCTTTTTCTAAGTGAAGACCTCAAAAATAAAAGTAGGAAAGTGAAAGAATATATTATGGTGCAAATACTTAATATGTCTGTTCTAATTAGGTTATCTTGACTTAAAATGGTAGTACTTGAGAAAACTTTCTGGAAAGATCTGAGACTTCAGAATGAAAGTGTATTTTTTTTCTAAGCTAACTACAGTTATGTATTCCAAACTGTAAGTTCCCTTTAGACCAAAAATATATGCTTATGTTTGAATCCTGTGTTTCTTGTGCATGCTGGTTTCAAAATAACAACTTTTTGCACTTAATCTGCCTTATAAGAAAAACTGTTTAAGAAAAAAACCTGCTGCTGTTAAGTGGAAGCAAAGGTTATTTCCTGCCAATCAAAGTAAAGTGTTTTGCAACTGAGGGAAAACAGAATGTTACTGAAATCATATAATTACTTGCACTTCAAAAATCTTCCTTTTCAATCCAAAGTAATTTTCTCTTTAGAAGAAATCTGTGACCCGATAGAAGGGGAAACATCAAACTATTTATTTTATGTATCATCTAAACCATTGTTGATTAAATGTTAATTCATCTTCCTTGTGAGTCCATTTTGTAGACAGAAAATTGAACTGTAAGAGAGTAGTAACTTGTCCAAAGTTCTAACAGCACAGTGGAGGCTGAACCAGGATCTAAAAGCTGGTGTCAAACTGCAAACAAATCATTGGTCTACAGCCAGTACCACCTCTGGTTACTCAACCACACATTCTAAAGGTCTTAAGGAAATAAACCTGTATTTGACTGAAATTGATCTGCATTTTTTCAAATGTAGATTACAAATGTTCTTTTTCTTTTAAAGATGGGCAGTGACAGAAGGTTATGGTGCTTGCTTAATAAATAAACCAGAACTAGTTCGAGATATGGTGAGACATGTACGGAATCAGATTGACAACCCTAGATTTTCAGTATCTATTAAAATAAGGTAGGTCTGACTTAAGTGCTGTTTGTGGTATGTGGAAGAATCCTTTTAGGCTTTTTTAAAGAAACATGTTAGTGTAGTAGTTACACTATAATACCTGTAATTCTGCTTATGCAATATTATACATTATAATAATTTTCTAACATGTGAAGACTGCTGAGATTTTTTGACCTCAGATGGTGAAAGAATATCTAGGGCAAGTAATCTCAAATTTAGATAATAGAACCAGTGCAGACTTTGGCGATTTACACAGATAACATACTGGATGCTGGAGTTTTCTTGCAATCCAAATGACATGAAAGTAGACCTTTTGGTCTAGGGTTCCATAAAAGAAAAGCAATGCATAGTCTGTATCGTCACAAGGATTTACTTTGTGAGCTATTGGAGGCCAAAGCTGCAGTTGCTGTTGGCTATAAAGGGAAGGGTAACAAAAATGGGAACTGGTCCGCACAGCTGCTGTAAGGAACACATCCTGCTTCCTTTCATCACTGGCTAAGCTTCTGTAAACTGTTGCTTTGCATTGCGTTGTACCACTTCATCTGCTATTTATGCACACATCCCATGTGGCTTTTGCATATTTGTCCATTAAGTTTCAACTCAGATTGCAATCCTTCAAGAAAGGAGAACTATTATACATTGGAGTTCTTTTTCCACAAAATATGCAAAATAATGATGTTTATTTTAGAATCTTTTGGGCACCATTGCTCAATCTCTATAAAATTTACCATGTATATTTCAGAGTTATGATACAATTGGGAAATGCTAAATTATATAGTGGTTTCAAAACATTAAATTTGTATGCCTTTATTTAAAAAAAAAATCTTTATCTTCCAACAGTAGTATTTTCTTTTTTTATACTGGTAACTCCTCCTTATGGAGGGGGGATTTTTATACAGTTCAGGTAACTTACTATCTAAAGTTTTCATTCCTTGGAATTTTAGGATCCACGAGGACTTAAAAAAAACAGTTGACCTCTGTCAAAAAGCTGAAGCAACTGGAGTTTCATGGATTACAGTACATGGGAGAAGCGTAGAAGAAAGACATCAGCCTGTGCATTATGATGCAATTAAAATAATTAAACAAAGCATGTCTATACCTATTGTGGCTAATGGAGACATTAAAACTTTGAAAGATGCTGAAAATGTTCATCACTTGACAGGAGCAGATGGTAAGATTAAACATACTCTATTTTCTAAGTAAACTTACAAATCAGATTTCAAAGTATTTTTTCTGGCTGTAAGTAGGACACGATTTGAGTGCTTTTCACTCTTTGAAGAGACAAATGAAGGAGGATGTTTTAGATGCCTTGCAAACTCAGAATCACTTGTAATCATTGGAGCACTAGAGCACTGTTATTCAGAGCCACAAATAATGATTTCTGAGGCAAATTACAAAAGCCCTTAGCTTAATTATGCTCTTTCATCATTCAGTAGTGGAGTTCAGGGGGACCTTCAGACATTCATTCCGTCTCCTTCTGGAGCTGATCATCTTGTAAAGAACTGTAAACTTCCACTTGGAAATCTCTACTTCCTGTACATGGGAGCAGATTTCTTACAGCAAGAATATGGCAGGAAAAGGAAATATTAAACCCGATACTTAACAGTTAAGATAGTTTGCTTCAAGGATTCAATGAGACATTGCACTCTCAGGTGTGTATATATTTATCTTGTTTTACTCTTCAGTGGTAAAATTTTGGTGTAAAGGACTGCCCTGGAGTTAGTCACAATAGATTCCTGCAACTGGCTATGGTTTCGAGACAGTATGGAGATTCAGTATATGTTTTGAAGAGGTGATCTGTATCTACACACTTTGGATCTTACAGCTAGAGAATAACAGGACACAGAACAGTTGCTAGTCCCGTAAGGAAAAGTTCATGTGGCAGGTTTCTTTTGACACTATTGATGTTTAATAGCAGGAACAGAAATCAGTGGAACCAAACTGCCATGCTGCTGCAGTAACTTTCCCCCCCAAATGCAATGCAGGAAAGAAATACATAGCAGAAAAGAATGTTCTCATAGCCCAGCTGACCTTCAATAGCAAAAATATAAAGCATCAGGTTTTTTCTGTACAGTAGTGAAAGAAATTTGTCATATTTGACCTATTTTTTATCCTGTTGTTTAAGAAGAAACTAACTGATAGATTTCATATTGACAGTGCAGAAAAACAAAATTCACTGATCGCAGAAGAATTGCAGTAGAACTTGTATGGGTTTATCTGACAATTTGGGATTATAGTTCCAAATACACTGGCTTGTTCGGAAAGATTTACTGCAGACCAAGAGCCCTGAGATTTACGTAATTGAGACATTGACCTCTTACTCGGTCAGTGAATCAGCTGAGTTGCACTAAAAATTACTACATTTAGATTTAGCATGTTGCTACTCTTGTGTCTTTTGTTGCTACTCCTGTGTCTTTCCATCATAATTTTATGTTAAAAAGACAGGCTTGTATATGTGTAGCAAATAAAAACAAAATACTATTGAATTGCAGTTTAAAAGTAGGGAAGAAAGGCTTCTGTATCCTGTGTTTTGTTTCAAAATTTCTGAAAAGTTACATCATCAAGTGGAATGTGTTGACAGGTGTTGTAGGTACTCTGAAGTTTGGATTGTTAAATGGATTTCTCTGGTATAGCTGTAGTACTCATCCCTGTTGTTCTGCCATTACTTGTCTGTAAGCTTTGGGTGGTTGTCCTAAGGGGTGCTATACAAAATCTACAGAAAGATTTAATATAAAGTTGATAAACTGTAATGTAACTTACTGCTTTAATTTCCCATTTGAAGGTATAATGGTGGCTCGAGGACTCTTAGCAAATCCAGCTATGTTTGCAGGATACGAAGAGACACCTTTGAAGTGCATCCAGGACTGGGTTGACATTGCTCTTGAGCATGGAACTCCTTTTACATGTTTTCACCACCATTTAATGTACATGATGGAACGGATAACTTCAAAACAAGAAAAAAAAAATTTTAATCTTTTATCAAGTACCTCAGCAGTACTAGATTATCTGAATGACCATTATGGGGTGTGATAACTGGAAGTATTTTAGTTCTGTGTAAACTTGTATTTTGCAATTGTCGATACACTGTTAAAGTTTTAATTGGGCTCATACTTTGTAGTCAGATTCATATATTGCATAAATATTTTCAGCGCAGCATAACATTATGATCAGGGTGATACTTTATATTTTCAGTATTTTTATGTTAATGTTTTTAACTCCAGAAAATATTCCAGATTCCACAAATGTGGAAATCTATTTACAGTGTACTACTTCACAGAGGATGGATCATTGTAAGACTCAAGTAATTTAATTTATTTTTTCACCAGACAGTTGCTTACACCAATGTGTTCACGAAAGTACGGCCTTTCTTACATGTAACCTCCTAAAATCAGGACTGCTCATAAATAATGCCAAAAATTTCAGACCAAAAGAATACAAAGGGAGCAATTATAGAAGTTTTTGTTTTAACTGACATAAGCAGTACTTTAACATTTGAGTAGATTTTTCAGTCTTAAGGACTGTGAGGCCTTGAAGCCCTGCATAGTATCCTCTTTTAAATTAGATGTTCCTTTTGCAGACTAAAACTTTCTAAGCTTACTTACAACTCAGAAAAATTCCACACTTCATATAGTGAAAGAAACCTGGAATAGATAAACAATGACGGAAAGAAGGAAATAGTAAAATGAAGAGATAGTTTAAGTAGAAACTTAGCTGAATCTACAATACAAGATTTGAAAGTTCAATCTAACTAAATTCAGTTTTGTTTATCTAATGTATAATAATTCTATAAAATATTATATCCCTGTCATCTATCAAAACAGAACTTTGTAGGTCAAAGAAAAGCTGACAGATTCTCTCAGTGGGGCTCTTGCAGTCCTTTCTGCCTGCTAGCATGTTGCTTATCAAAGCATGACAGCCATTTGGCTTTGAATCTTTGTATAGGAGGAAAATAGTGAAAATTAGAACAAGATAATAACATTACACACCAGCTGCATTTGTTCTGGCAAGGGAAATTTCACAAATCTGTGCGGTACAATTATTTGTAATCAAATAATTTGTTTTCTTTGTATGTTTACACAGAAATTCATACAAGAAATTGCTTAGTTTTCTGATTCTGATACTTCTATGAATATACAAGTGGAATAGTTCTAAATTTTCTAAATAAATTACTTGGGTTTGTATACAATTGTAATTATTTTTATTACACTATAAACTATGGCAACCTGGGGGAGGGGAGGTTGCTTTTGATGCTACTCCCCAAATCTTTTAATCATGTAGATATCTAAAATCTCACAGTGTTTTTAATGCAATGGCATAAAAGACTTGATCATTTTTCATAGCCATTATGTCTGATTTAGGCATCCAAACAAAAGTTTGAAAGGTGTGAGCTGAGTCACCAAGTCTAGTTCACTATTTAAGACAGTGAAGTTACGTAGCTCTTCTGATATGGTCACTTTCCTGATGTGTTAACAAATGGAAAACTACAGACATGCTTTGCTATCCTAGGCTAATTGAGACAATTTCTACAACCTTTTTGGTGCAACAGGTTCCCCATTCTTTCAGACAACTGGTTTTTTTCACTCTTCTGGATTGTAATGTTTTCTTGACATTGGATGAGCACAATTATGTATAGCATTCCAGGTAAAACCCCAGCAATGTCTTCTGCAGTTAACAGTTCTCTTTCTAATGCCTCACTTTTCCTCAACTAATACTAATGTAATTTATGAGCTCTCAGTTTTACAGCAAAAGTTCTTATTTCCCAATCGCATGACATTGTATTTTGTACTGCTAAATTTCCAGTCTCAAGTTCATCCAACTATGGTGCAATACTCAGTTCTCCTCAGTTCTGAAAATGCATCCAGTCTTCTGCATCAAGATTTAAAAATAAAACTTTGTAACTGAATTGTAGAAGAAGCGTATTCTTGAAAGTATTAACCCTGTGTTAGCATTTTCTTAAGATTCTTATGGTTTGGCAAGCAACTATTACTTGCTGTGAACTGTCCCATAAGCCACAAGGAACAGATAAGAAAAAGTTATTTATTATAATCAAATAACACAAATGCAAGGCTTTTTTTTTTTTTTTTTTTTTTAAACAGTGAGGAAATGGAATTTTGGAGGACCTGCAATGCAAATACCTTGACCTATTTAGGAACTGAATACTTGATTTTGAAGGCAGCAGTTGTTGTGCCTGTGTGAGATCAATCATAGACATTTCTGCCTGAAGTACAAGATCTAGGTTGCTGTTAATATTGCTAGTAATTAAGGAGTGCTTGATCAGGCCAATTATGCATCATAAAAGTCAACAGAAGTTTATCATCCCTTTTTGAGAGTGAAATTAATTGTATGCCTTCTTCTCTTGTGAATTTTGTATGCATCTGAGCCTACTTCACTGTGTTGATGTAGAATAAACTGCAAAATTTGGGTCTTAAAGCCATACTCAGAACAGCCATACTGTTCAAATATACATAAATTGCTAAAGATAGGAGTTAGTTATTTAATTCCCATTGTTGCTTTAGAATATGGTCGTATTTCTCATGATAAGCCTTTTGAATATGACAAAATGCTCATCTCCAGTTTAAAGCCACTAGATACATTCCTTCCCTGTATGTGTTACTTGTAACATCACCAGGTACTCAGTCTATTTTCTAATTTTCAAATTTTAAAAAGTTATTCTGCAAATATGATACAAAGCTTTGTTTCCTATTTTGGGTCCTTTGCCTCCTGTAACTGATCCAGCTCTTTATGCTAAGCCACCCTGCACAACAATGCCATATTCTCTTAACACCTGTACTTTCTTGTAACTTTTACCCTGCTGCAGTAATGCCAGCTCCCTCATGCAGCCTGTACAATCCCATTTTCTCTGTTCCCTACTGTTTAGTTGTTTCTTAGGTCTCTTCTCTGTCTTGGGTTGATGGCTGGGCAAATGCAGTGTGTGATGATGAGACAGATGTCATACAAGCCAAACTAGAATGGAACAAGTTTGAACTTCTTCTTTGCCTTTCAGCAGAGAGTTAGTCAGATTGCTATCCTCTAACCAGCTGCTAATACACAGGCATTTCATATTTATACTTTTGAATACTTTGTCACCCAACTGGTGGGAGGGAAAGGTATTTCTTTCAACTGTAATGTGTAAAGGTTTGAGAGTTTTTTTCCTAAAGCAGCCAGCCATTATATATACCACATAGCATCGTATTTATCATACTCTGGTTCACTGGAAGATAGGCAGCCTTAGATCAACAACCCAGACTTCTACACCTTCAGTTAGAACCAGGAGCAGGGATGTCTCACATACGTTTGCAGGAGGCTCCTCTCTGTTCCTCAGACCTCATTCCAGGTTGGTGGTGAACACGCATCAGCTGCAGTGGAAGTGCACAGCAGTCACTGCAGAGTGAGTCTTAGATCTTACGAAGCCCTTGAAGTGAAAAAGCAGACGCAGGAGTCTATGGCAGCAGGGATGTGCAAGTATAGTCCTACCAGTATGAGACTAGGCTACTGGGAGGGCAGCTTACAGTGCTAGTAAGAGGTAAGTAAGCAGCTCAGAAATGGAAACTGCTCTGGAATTAAAAGAGAGGGAAAGTCTAATAACATTTTAACAGCTTCAATAAAATATAATGGCTGTAAAACAATAGCTAAAATGTAATAACCAGGACATACTAAGAGGTTATGTTTGTCTATGCTTCTGATTAAATATGTTTATGAAAACATGTTAGAAATACTTCTTAAAACCCAGGCTGTTTTTGTTGTGTGGATAGGACAGAAATGGCTGGTTGTATTGCTCACCAGTATTTGTTATGCATAAACAATTATTTGGGATGTAACCTTTCATCCAGACATTGCTTGGCAGCAGCTAGGAGAACGTTAACACACTGGCTCCATCCCCAGGCCACAGACCTGGGAAATTTTAAATGTAAATAATTTCAGATTGTGAGCAGCTGCAAACAACTCTGTTCAAAATTGCTTTTGCAAGAACTTCCTACTCCATGCCAGCACCAATGGATTAGAGTAACAAAGAACTACTATTCACAGCATTTAATCTGTTTTATTTTGATGGAAATTAATTGGGACAGAATTCCTAAAAGCAGGTAACTGTGTCAAGTTGTGTCAGTTAGACAAGATAACCTCTTCCTCAGGATCTGTTAGAGCTGCAGGCGAGTCAGTAAGTTGCTGACTGTACCCCAGCCTGAGCTAACTGAACAGGGTGCAGGTAACTCCTGGATATGACATGTGAAATTGTTAAACATGACACACAACAGTGTGGAAAGTTGGTGAAACCTGCAGATATTGCTGGACAGGATGGCTGTATTTCACTGGTGGCTAAGGGAGTGTTAGGTGAAAAACAACTGAACTAGACAACTGGAAAGTAGTTTTGAGGGTCCTTTCGGAACTAGAAACTTGCAGGGCCAAGAGAGCCCAATAACCATATCAGTACCTCAGTAACACCATGTAAGGCCAAGAGTGCCCAAGTAATGGTATCAGAAATACTGGTTGTGGGTAGAGATACAGAAAAGCTAGGAAGCACAGGGAAAAGAGATTAGGGGAAGGTTACACAGGGACAAAGAAGAGAAGTTACAAGGGTGGCAAAAGAGATGGTCGAGAAATGGGAAAATGGCTACCAAGGTATGGAAATAATGCGCTCGGAGCCTTCCTATGCTGATGAAAAGCACCACACAGGGTAATACGATAGAGCAGGATTTTCTGAAGTAATAGTGTTTTATTCATGCGTTCCAAACAGGCCTGTCTGACAGTGTTTGAGACTGCTGTTTGTTTGCTGTTTGTGGTGTCTTTATGAATACTGGGCCTATTTTCCTTGAGAAAACATATTTACATGATCTTAATACGTTAAGGTAGTATAACGCATGGGGTGGGGGGGACATGACACAGACAGACACAGTTATTTTAAATGAACGTTTAGAAACTAATGAGTGTGCTACAGAGTGGAGTTCAAGTCCCCAGGTGAATAAGGTGGAGTCATGGAGCAGTGGGATGATCACAAGATACTGCAGCAAAATGCTTACAACCACTCCATAAATGTGAAAGAGGATAGCAATTTTAACCTTTCTCAACGTGTAAATCCCAGCATTTTCCAACAGAGGGGTGGTCTCTGAGTAATTCACGCCCACCGTCAGATTCGGCTTTCCAGCTGCCCCACACCGACCCCTCAGGATGTGTCCCCTCGCCGGGCCCTCAGCCCGAGCCCGGGAAGCCGGGGCAGCAGCCAAGGATGGCGTCTGGGGAGCGGGGAGGGCGGCGAGGACCCTCCAGCTCCACCGGGGTGGGACCTGAGGGGACGGGACCCACCCCTCGGCTCCCGCCGCCCCGCCCTGCCCCCGCAGCCCTGGTGTCACTCAGCCCCGTCCCGGCCCACATCCTCCGCGCAGCGGGGAAGCCGCCCCGCAGCGCCGGCGAAAAGGGCGGGCTCACTCCCTCCCTGTTCCGTCCTGCTCCGCACCCCTTCGAGAGCCGCTCGCCGCCATCAGGTTCAACTGGGCGCCGGCGCTGAGGAGGCTGCGGAGGCCGGGCGGCCGTAAGGGGAGGACGGGACGGGCCCGGGGCGGCCTAGGCCTCCCCGGCTGTGCGGGGCGGGGAGCGGGGGTGATGCGCGGAGAGGCGGGAGCCGGCGCGGCGGGAAGGAGCCGTTCGGCCTACGGTCTCCTCACGAGGGGGCTGCCATCGGCCGGCCCTGTCCGCCCAGCCGGGCCCGGCGGCGGCGGCGGTGGTGGTGGTGAGGGTCCTACTTCCCACCTTCCTCCCCCGGCGGATGAGCTCTGCCCCAGGGGCGGGTTCGGGACGGGAAAGTACAGTGTCCACCCCGATGCTTTTGAGTTACTTAAAAATACTTCCCTTCGGAGCTCCGTGGCCAAACGCGGGGCAGCCTGAGCCCGGCGGGTGCTGCCGGAGCCGCCGTGTTGCGGGCCCGCCTGATCCTCTCCTTCCTCCGCAGGCCTGCCGGGACGATGACTTTCCAGTGGACGGCAGTTGCCACCATTCTGTACGGTGAAATAGGAGTACTTCTCGTGCTTTGCCTGCCGTTTATTTCTCCGCTGAGGTAGGACTTCAGCGTGCCGCAGTACCCCAGCTCGGTCTTCTCGCTGTTTTGGGTTTATGTTACACTCTTGTTTTTATAAACACGGACCTGTGCTGCATCTTAAACTAGTTGTGAACTAAGCTGAAGGAATGCTGTTTGGGACTTGAGCATCAGGAGTTTCAAGAATTGTAAGCCTCCTTTAAGGAGCTTTATCTTTTGTTTTCTACACACTGCTGATTAATCCCAGCAGCAGTCAGGGTTCCCACGATGAGCCCTGTTGCTTTCCTTCAGCAAGTGGGATGTCATCTCCCAGTCTTCTCTTGGCAGTTTTTGGAGTAGCCAGCATACAGGAGGGCATCTGGTTTCCCATGCTATGAGCTCAGTGAGAAATGAGAGGACAGTGCAGCCCTTTCAGAAGTTGTTGGTCAAGTTTGTGAGGAGCAGCTTTACAACATTTTGGTGTGCATGAGGCATTGTGGGTGCAGAACTGATAAGAGACATCGGATGTTCAACGTTAACCGCATACAGCGTGTGTAAGGGCTGCAAGAAATGTATGATCATTTGTTTAAAAAAACTGGCCTTCAGCTTGATGCAGAAGGATCAGTACTACTGAAATAAACACCTCTATAAACTTACATATAGATTAACAAAATTATAAGACTTCTGGAACACAACACAAACATTAAGAAAAATATGTAATACTTGTTACATAGACGCCCATAGTAAGGGAAAGAAACAATGTATTAATTAATCTTATTGTATTGCAGCATTATCTTAAGATTGTTTTCTGTGAGGAGCTCTTCAAGTTTAGTAATGTTACTTTTATTTCTTTGTAGGTAATAAAGCAAGCTAGTCTTTCTACAAGAGGCAAGAGAAACAGAGT